GAATGAAGCAAATGGTCCAAATCCTTTTGGTTTAACTATTATCAGTTGTTTGTGTTCAAATGACTGTACTACTGCTCCACCTAGTGTTAGAAGTTTTAAATGTGATACTGAGTTCAATTTCTTTCTGATTTAATCAAATCAATCCTCATTTAAATAATCTGATATCAATTACTACAACCCAGAGATCTATATTTTTATATACAGTAAATTGCAGAGTCTAAAGGCAGTGCTTGTTTGCAAAGTTAGAATATAAAGTCATTGAGGAGCTGGACAAAATACAAAGCCCAACATGTGATGTGGACAAATATTTCAGGGAATCAGATTTGACCTGATTAAGGAAATCAGCATTAATATCCAGTCCTATTTAAATGCTGATAAATGCTGCAGTAGTTGATTAACTGTATTTTCTGATCGGTCAGTATTACATTAGGTGTTGTTGGGAACCTACAAACTGTAATCAGAACTGCTAATTTTGTTTTTTTATTTTGACTTTGCACTGAAGTTGATTAATCTGCTTTTTGATCGACAGCCGGATTTATGAGATCCTCCCTCAGCGTATCCAGCAGTGGCAGCAGAGTCCCTGCATTGCCGAGGAGCATGGGAAGAAGCAGCTGGAGCGCATCCGCCGGGAGCAGCAGAACGCTCGGCTGCGCCTCACCGATATGGAGCGCCGCTTCCACGAACTGGAGGGGATCATTGCCAAGGCCAAGCAGCAGGCGGTCCAGCAGGACGAGGAGGTGAGCTGGCAGCAGCCTGCACTCTGCACCTTTTACTAGAACAGATTACTTTTTAGAGCCTGACCGAGTTTTGGGGGCCTATACTGATATTATCTGCCACAAGGTGCTAACATGTTATAGTTATGTGCATATTTTGTTCATAATGTGTACAATATTCTATTGACTGACAAAAATAATGATTTGATAGATGCAGTTATACTGGGATATGTGTGATACAATTTATGACGCTGTGAAAACCTCATAGGTGCAACACCAGTCTGTTGAAACAGCTTCTTCCCTCTGGTGAAAGTGAAGACGAGCTTTGAAACTGCAGTCTCAGACATTTCTGTTTGTTTGATGCTGCAGAAAGAGAACAGAGGTGACACTGTAATGACATTGTTCTCTCTCCTGTTGCAGGTGAATGAAGGTGATAGTGAGGACACAGATCTGCAGATTTTCTGTGTGTCCTGTAGTCATCCCATCAACCCGAAGGTGGCACTGAAACATATGGAGAGATGTTATGCAAAGGTGATTATTTCTTTAATTTGTGTTTTTTTGCCTCTCAGCATCTCATATAAGCACAATCAAAAGAATATTGACTACTGATAACAGTTTTCTTCCCCTCATTAATATGTTGACAGTATGAGAGTCAGACCTCCTTTGGCTCCATGTACCCTACAAGAATAGAAGGGTGAGAAAAAAGAAATACACTCAATGCTTTAGCAAATTTTCCTGATTCACTTAATTTACCAGCTATTTCTTTTTCTACAGAGCAACCAGACTCTTCTGTGATGTGTACAATCCCCAGAGCAAAACATATTGTAAGAGGCTTCAGGTTTTGTGTCCAGAACATTCCAGAGATCCCAAGGTCAGTGAACTCCTCTAAACTTTTAGTAAAATTTCTAGTACTCACTAAACCTACCAACTAAAACGTGAAAATATTGAGAGTAAAAGCGTTTAACTTTTAGTTTCTTTAAAGTAGGGTAGAGTTTCCCATTTTACATTTGATGTTTCTCTCTCCTGCTGTGCCCAGATCCAAGTAGATGAGGTGTGTGGATGTCCTCTGGTGAAGAACGTGTTTGCACTGACAGGAGAATATTGTAGAGTCCCCAAAAGGAAATGCAACAGACATTACAACTGGGAAAAGCTGAGGAGAGCTGAGGTGGACTTGGAGCGAGTCAGGGTGGTAAGTCGACCTTCACGAACGATGCTTTGATCCAAAGGCTCAGAACTTTTCTGTAGATTTTCAATCATAAAGGACTCTAGGCCTCGACCAACAATGAGTGAAGTGATAAATATCTGACTTGCTGGTGCTAACCATAGACTGTACATAAAAATGGAAGACTCATCCTGTATATTACTGCTGTCATCTTGCGCGTAAGTTTTCATTTGGAGCCAGAGTCGGCACAGTAGGGATCGTGGTGCGGAGCCGCAGTATTGAGGTCCTGTTGATACATGCGTTGGACAATCGTTAGCCAGTCTCAGATGTCAATCATGATGTTTTACCCAGTTATATATCATCAAATATATAATTAAAATGAAACCTGTTAGAAAAATGAACACGTGGACAAAACATCTGTAAGACAAGAACTACTGTAAATGACAAAAAACATCTTTGACATTTTATTCTGGCACATGTCCAATCAAATTACATTGAGGAGGTAGGATCTATGACCTATACTGCAGCCAGCTACCAGAGGATGATTGAGATACTTTGGCTTCGCTTTTGGGAGCTGTCATATCATCCATCTTTGCTAACTCATCCTCAGCTTTAACCTGTGCTTTTGTTCTCCACAGTGGTACAAGTTGGACGAGCTCTTCGAACAGGAGCGTAACGTCAGGACTGCTATGACCAACAGAGCTGGTCTGCTCGCTCTGATGCTGCATCAGACTATTCAACACGACCCCTCGACAACTGATCTCCGTAGCAACAAGGATAGGTAGTCGAACTAGACCCTATCTGTGGATCACTTTACACAATATGAGATTTATGTGTAAAGGATTAATCTTGTAGAGCAATGACCATCGTTTTGATGAAAACTGGTTTTCTAACTAGATAATTATTTTAAAATCTTTGTATATTAATTAATTTTAAGTGGTAAATGGATATATATTTTCCTGACTGATACTGTTGATTGAAAACTGCTGTTTTTGGTATGAACACCCTGAATAAACACAGTGAACTTGCTCCACGTGAGGTTTGTGTTAATGATATAAACGTTATTTGTTCTATTGTTTCAGTTGGTCTTTGCACCAACAATATGCACAAAATTCCATCATTTTAACTATTATAAATTTGCCTGAAACTAAACCAATTATATGTTCTTTTCTGTGAACTGACATTGACCCTGATTATTTTTAATGGTATCTTTTAAATAGCCCTGAAGGCAGCACAGTTAAAGGACCAGGCTTTGGGATGTAGTTGCATTGTAGTTGCATCATTTCCCCCAAGCCTCTAAGAGTGTAGTAGATCCTGGGGTGTCCTTCAGGTAATGTGAAAATGTGAAAGGCCATCTCTTAAGAGGCTTGTGTTTGGTTTGTCCATTCTTGGCTACTGTAGAAACATGGTGGTACAACATGGTGGACACTGTGGAAAGGACCACGATCCACAAAATCAGTTGGAAGGGTATATTCTAAGCTCATGAAATCAAAATCATTCTTAGGTTCAGACCAACAAAAATAAATATGAATTTCATACTGCCTGAAGATGCAACAAAAACCACACTGGTCCTTTAAATGACAAAAAGGCCAATTCAATTTCACTTATAACACAATTCAACATTAGTTGACTGACAGCGCCCTCTTCAGCCACAAACGATGAATGATTCTGTTGGGCTCCGAGCTTGTATGTATTATACTACATGTATAAGTGGTTGAATGGTTTTCATGTTCTCTCTACCAGCAGACAGAAAGATAAAGTCATCAGCCACATCCAGCCCTCGCTCCTCGCTCTGGTTCAAACATGGTCACTTATGGCCCCACAAGATGGTGATCACTGACTCATTCTCTTATTATCACTATCAAGAGTGCCATGTTGAAGACTAGATGGCTCTCAAAGCCACAAACGAAGGTTGTCAGACATGATTTTTAGATCAAAATAATATAGTTTGTTTCCTTCGCAGACATGTCACTAACAAATCTCTCTGACCTATTTTCGCGTTCGTTTATCCCGAGATATGAGAGGAGTCAATTCGTGTACAATCAATGAACATTTATTACCAAACAATGAAAAGGCATTACATAGCTATGGGCATCCTCACACAATCTGACTGTAAGCCACCCAGAGTCGTGAAAAGTCACCCCGTACATTTGGCATCACACAGTTTTTGTAACATGAGAATTAACTTGATTGGCCAATAATGGCGGGGAATGGCCATGGTTTAGACTCAGCTCTCCCTTGTTGGTGCACAGCTCAGTCCTGGCCTCTTGGCACTTGAAAAAACCAATGAGCACTAGCTGCTCCTTGCTTGGTCCCTCCTTTGGCGATGTGGTACTATCTTTACCTTGAACCTTGTGTCCCCATCTCTACCTATCTCCAGTTATGTTTTATCTTCTCTTGCACGTCATGCACAGTGAATCATCCTTAGTTTCAATGCAATAACAGCTCCTTATATGGTTTTGGTCAATGTGGGAGAGGGAAGAGCTCTTCCTGACCTTGACAGCATGTGTGTTTGTGTATGCATACAGCAAAATGTATGTGTGTTTGTGTGTGTGCACAGCAAAAATGTGTGTGCATATCTTCCATTCATGACTACATCTGGTCTGAGATTATTTACTGTTCTTCAGAACCTGGGGCAGATACTTGTAACTTTTCTGGACGTGTCCTGCAACTCCCTGTGAGCACATTGCAGTCATGTTTGTGTGTTGTTGCTCCAAACAATGGTCATGCTAAAACTGGGACAACTAAAGCTGTGAACAAGAGATGGTTACTGGAAATGGTGCACACAGTGTTTAATGACTTAAAAGTAATACATGGTGCATATAAGTGCTTGTCAACTTAAAGGTAGTACATGGTGCTCAGTGTTTATCAACTTAAAGGTAGTACATGGTGCTCATAGTGTTTGTCGACTTCAAAGTAATATTCTCCACACTATACTTTTGGCTGTATCATTTTTTTGAGAAACAAATGTCAGAGAGGAGAACAACAGTCCAAATGTTCTAACTCGCTCCCACGGTCACAATTATTAACTCTAACCAATAAGTAAGACATCTGTACGTTCGGGGAAGTCTTGGGACGTGTAAAGAGCCTGGATTTTCAAAATAAGGGTCAAAACCGAACGGAGCCGACTATCAAAGACGATGGAAGTGGAATGAGATACATCACGTCACTCGACGTGTTGATTGGTCAAGGTTTGATTTTATGTTTATATCCACGTGAATAGTTTGTATTAAATTAGTGTACAATGCATTACATTAAAAAACATGTAATTGAGTAGTTGTTTCATGGAAATACTTTATTGCAGGCTGGCTCAGCTAAAATACACGACAATGCGCAGTACTTGTGTATAGATAAATAGTAATAGGGATGTTGACTTGAGTTTACTATTGCAACACAACTCTACCCTCGCTCTTTAAAAGCATTTGTATTAGTTAAAGCAAAGTGAATATTTCCAGGCGCTGGTAGTTCTCTCTGGAGCTTTTTCTACACGGTCTGTGATCTGGAGGAGGGATCGCAACCATTATTTACGGTCCTGCTGAAATTTCATCTCTGTGTCTCGCCGTCCTTTGACCGTTCACTCTTTCCGTCGGTGCTGGATGCTAAGCAGCTAGCTAACTTAGCTGTGGCACGTAAACTGAGCAGGGGCAGGTTGTGGTTAGATTCCCAAGCGAACGAACTTCCCTGTAGGTGTGGTGGGTAGGGGCCCACCGAACCGCACACACCGGTAAGGCGGTAACGATACAGAGATCTCCACTCAGAGGAGTCAATGGAGCATAGCTGCAGAGGAGCCATGGAGGGGAGAAGGACCCTGTAGCTAGCGGTGGCTACCACTGCTCCTCTCGTTCTCTCTTCCACTGTTTGCTGCCCAGTCAATCTACGTAAGTGTTAAATACGCGAGGAGAAACAGCAGGCACCTGTATCCGGAGCTCACAGCATCCTCAGCAGAGAAAGTACACAGAGTAGTTCAAGTTAGCTAGTGTTGCTAACAGGGTGTTTGCTGGCTAACATCCGCTACACCCCAATGTTAGCTGAAATACTCATGGGGTCTGCAAACAACAGAGCACCACACTGTCGCTTGGTTAGGTTTGTTTATAGATACTAATATGAATGTACTGGTTAAGTCGTTAACATCGTTTCAAACCAGCAGTTTGTTATTATTGTTATTGTTATTTTAAGCTAACATTTAACGTTCAGCTAGGCTAACTGATCACAATGTACTGTGACGTATGGTGTGTCAAATCTCTGTTATAAACATCCTCCTCGCTCGTTTCCAGGTTCTGGCAGTGTGACTCCACACCACTTTAAATGGGATGCCAGATCGACTGTAGCGGAGATCTCTTCGGTCTTCAGGAAAACACTGTGGGGAGATTGTAACCAGAGCTGGTGCATCAATGAATGAGGAACCACAAGAGAGCCCGGCCCCAGGCAGAGAGCCTGTGCAGGATGATGTGGGACAGACCACAGAGGAGAAACCAAGCAGCAGAGCAGAGAGCCCCTCCAGGCCAGCACCCTCACATGAGCCCATTGGGCCCTCAGACTCTCTTCCTCCTCAGGAAACCCCCAGCCCCATTCCTATAGAAAAATCCCCAGAGGAGGCAAATGAAGAGGAGGCGAGGGCTGCAGGTGGTGAGCCTCCTGCTGACTGGTTCGAGCCCCTCGAGGATGATGAAGAGGATGATGCCAATTCCTATTTTGGTAGGAATGATGCAGAGGAAGAAAGCCTGGCAGGGGAAAGTGAGAGGAGTGAGAGCGTGGCAGGCAGCGAGAAGGCCTTCAAAAAGATATATCAGTAGGTTGAACAATGTTGTTTGCTCACCTCTGTGTGTAAAAAATGTTTGCATGATTCAAGCACAAGACCCACATTATTCAATGTAAACTGCACTATACCATATATAATGTCAATTGCATTTTCACTCCTGGATATTTAATTATCTAATTTCTGTACTTAGTTGTTCTTAAAAGGTTTTATTTTATCTTTTTGCTTGTATTTATTCTCTACTTGGTCTCCTGCTACACTCAAATTTCCCCCATAGGGATCAATAAAGTGTTATCTTATTTAATTATTACCTAAGTATTTCTCACATGTTTTATTCTTGTCTTCTCTTTTAAATCCAGGATTCAAACCCCTCGCCGTAAGCGGTCTCATCCTGACGAGGGATGGGAGGAATGGCTTGCACTTGGAGAGGGGTGGAAACGCAAAGAAGTTATTCGGCGTTCAGGGAGCAGTATTGGTCAGAAGGATGTGTATTACATGAGGTAAATACTAGACTAGTAGTAAAATAAAATAAAAGAACACACT